GTGGTGCTGCCTCTGGACTGTTTTTTTTTTCGCGACCATGTCTTACCGATGATGCCACCGCCCCTCTTCAAATCTAACTGCTCCGGGAAGCCAATAAGAATGCAAATAAGCGGCGACACTACAAATGTCGCGTGCGCCTCTCCGCGGACGTCACACACGTCACGGCACGGCCGGTAAGGCCCTAGTGGGTCCCAGTGGGGCGGCGGGGGCCCGACTCCTTGTCTGGGGCGGTCACGACGAACCCCAGAGGGGGCCTCGGGCAAACCCTGTACCGGGACCACCAAGCGGCTTACCGCCTCTGCCTCTGTGTGTGTGTGTGTGTGTGTGTGTATGTGTTTATATTTGTGTAAGTGTATGGCAGGTGTGTCGTGCCCTGTCACGCGCGCGTAAGCACACACAGAGACAGAGAGACAGCTAGAGAGAGAGAGGAGAGAGAGAGAGAGAGAGAGAGAGAGAGAGAGAGAGAGAGAGAGAGGGGGGGGGAGAGAGGGAGAGACGCACGTAGACGCACACACACACACACTTCTCCACACACACACACACACACACACACACACACACACACACGGCGCAACTTTGTGTCCAAAGCTTGGCAAGGAATGAAGTGGAGTGGGAAGAAAGGGGGAGGGCGTGGGGGAGACAGCAGCGAATAACTTTCGTTCCGGAATCGTCGTCGTCGTGGTTCCCGAAATTTTCGGTGTATGTACGAGTCCCGTTTGGCGCACCCGGCGTTGCTGAGATGCCCGGCCCGACCGGCGCCCCGTTCCCAGGGGAATCGTTGGAGATCGTTTCGTGGCTCTGTCTCTCTCACACGTTTACGGGGAGCCCCACGAGTGCGACAGAGACAGGGCGACGAGACGACGATTCTGAATCGCTCCGCTCGGCCTGCCCGCCTCGCTTTGGCTCTTTTGTCGCGTCATAATTGCTTCTTCGGAAGGAGGCGGGCCAAGCGTGTGCAATGAGAAATGCGCTCGGTCTTTCGTGTGTGTGTGTGTGTGTGTGTGTGTGTGTGTGTGTGTGTGTGTGTGTGTGTGTGTGTGTGTGTGTGTGTATTCGCTCCTCCTCCGCTGCCCCCGCTCGGCTCCAATCACGCATTGTTGGCCTCATTATCAGAGCACTCCCCGGCCGCCGGAAGCTTTTGTAGGCCATTGTACGAGGAACAATTGTATCTCGGCGGCTGGACAGCAGAAGGCAGCAAGCAGAAGGCAGCGGCGCGCTGCGCTGCGCGGTGGCCGAACTGATAGGGGGTGCACTCATAAATCAGCGGACGGGCCAAACAGGCCAGGCGGCCAAGGCAGGCCGAGGGACGGTGCGGTGCCGTTCCCAGCGCAGCGCCGCCGCTCTAAGCGAGTGCGCGGAAAAATGAGTCACCCCGCTGCTACACTATTGAAACAAAACAGAAAAAAAGAGCTACGTGGTTTTTAAAGGGAAAGGGTACGGCTAGGCCTCAGTACCTTCAAGTCATTACCTTACAGTTGCACAGAGATTCAAAAGCCGTGTTCATTTCCGTCAAAGCTTACTTTCGGGAAAAACTATGTAACTGTGCATTTAAAAACTTGTATTGTTTTTTTGTCCAGAGACGCTCTGCATCTGCTTCTTAAAAATTGATTTTTAAACAGTTTTGTTGTTTGTTCACCACGCAAAAATAAACTGTTGTTGGTTTTCTCAAGTGCCGTTTAGTGGAGACAGAGTGGTCCTGAGAAAAATAGGAAACATTTTTGCCGGGCAGAGCCACTTTGCATCTTGAAAATTCATATTTAATGATGTTTTTGTTGTTGATTGTCCAAAGCTGCTCTGCATCTTGAAAATACATGTAAAAACCTTGTTGTTGTTGTTTGTCGTAAGCCTTTCTTGCACCAGAAAAATGCATTTAAAAACTGTTGTTGTTGTTGTTTGTCCGGAGAGCCGCTCTGCCTCTCGCCGCCGTGTCTCGCAGTTCGGCTTATCAGGCCGCGGTACGTGCGACGAGTCCGCGACGCAGGGCGCCGCCGCTGTATTATTTATCTTGCCGCGCGGAGCAATGCGGCACCCCCTCCCCTCTCCTCCCACTCCTCCCCCTTCTCCCAATCCCCCTCCCCCTTTCCCCCTCCCCCCGGAAGTGCAAGTGAGTTGGAGCCCCACTAGGTCAGGCTGCCCGGCTGGCGTCGGCGGCGTGACTTTGGTGACCGTGGCGCCGGCTCACGACCACCACAATCTCCACGGTATCACGCCTAGACAAAAAATGCAGTTTACGGCCCTGGGAAATGTTGTGCAACGACGACCGAGGTGGCGGTCGGTGGTTTTTACAATGAACGTGAATCCGATTTAGCCCTTTTTCAAGGGTTTGTGCGGTGCAAGTAGTTGTGAGCGCGGCTGGTATGAAAAATTCATGAAGTCCTTTGGCGGGGCAGCGAAGGGTTTTGGCGCGGAACGGGGATTTGGACGGTGCGAGGGCGGCGGCCAGTCTCGTGTCCGCGACGTCCTTGGTGGACGGGCGAGCGGACAGACAGACAGTCCGGGTAAAGAAACACGATGCCGACTCGGCTTTCTTCGGGTCCCTCGCGTCCTTCGGCCGGGCCGCTTCTGCAGTCGTGCAACACGTGTTCTGCGCGGTGCGGCGCTCGGCTGGGGACCCAAACGCACGGCCAAACAAGAGCGCCGTTGCATCCGCGGTTGCATCTTCATTCTTTTTTTTGTTTTCCTTTTCTTTATGTTCTGTTCCCTTTACGTTGTGTTCCTTTGCCCTTTTCACTCGTCTTTCTTTCTTTCTTTCTTTCTTTCTTTGTGAAGTCGCCATGGCAAGTGTGTCCAGCATATTGGCGCGAATAGCACGCGTTGCCGTTCTCACGAGGATATACTTAAAATTTCTCGTCCGACAAATGCGTCTCTCATTTTTCTTTTCCCCATCGAGGAGCGACTAGTGTCTGTGGGCACGTCCACCTTGCTCCTCTCTTGCCTGCCCTGTCGCCTCGTCTCGGGCGCGTTCGAATATGAGCTGGAAGGAAACACAAAAAGCAAATATGAGACAGAGACACGAAGTGTGTAGTGGAATAGAAAAGGAGGGGTAGGAAGAAAACTCGGAAGATTCCCCGTTCGGGCGGGCCTGGCCGGCCTGGCCTGGCCGACCTGGCCGCAGGGTCCTGTTGTCACTGGACAGTCCCGACTTCTCAACCGGCCCGCCCAGAATGCTATCACGTCTGCCGCGCGCGCGCGCGTGTGTTTGTGTAAGTGTACTTGTGTGTGACGAAGATAAGTGGGAAAACGATGCCACACGCGCCGCTGTGATACGCTAATTAACATCTTCACGGTCACTGACACTATCTCACTCGCACACTTTTTGTTTCCGTTTATTATTTATTCCGACCATCTTTCTTGGTCTCTCTTTGCTCTCTCTCTCTCTCTCTCTCTCTCTCTCTCTCTCTCTCTCTCTCTCTCTGATCAGCAGAAAACCACTGTGTGTGTGTTCGCGTCAGTGTGTTTGTAGGGCTCCAGGGACACATTCCGTTACGTTCGCTGATGATTTAGTTTGTGGGATGATGTATGGTATGGCGACTGGCGGGGACGGCTGTTGTGAAAGCGTCAGAGCCCTAGTCCGATGGGATGCACCTAGTCCTTCCTCAAGCGGCAGATGAGCGATTCCGAACGACACGGTCGTTCTGTCTCTCTCGCTCTCGTGGAATGTTCCGTGCAGGTGCGAGAGAGACAGAGCAACGAAACTGACAATCGTTTGGGATCGGTTTGTAGATCCGCATGCGAGGGGGCAACCGCTCGATATTTGTTTGTACACAGGATTCTTCAAAGCTAGGGATTTCGTCAAGATTTCGCAAGATTTCACAGGATTTCACGTCAAAATTATGCCAGATTTCGTGAGATTTTGGTGGGATTTCGCGAGATTTCACCAGATTTTGATGGGATTTAGAAGGGATTTCGCGATATTTCTATCGATTTCGCGCAAGACTTCTGCAAATCAAGTGTACACAGGACTTCGCGAGTGGTTGCCCCCTCGTCCGCATGCGTCATGCTGGCAGGAAAAAATGTACAGAAAAAGTGCGTTAAATATATGTTTAATATAGGGAGAACCTCTAGGAGTTCGGTACCATTTCCGTTCTCCATTTTCTGTAGAATTTCCGTATTTATCTACGGATTTTTTTTTACATTGTCACCCCGTCTGTGACAGACGCCTGCGGAATGCCGTCCAGCCGCCCCGCCGCGCTCGGCAGGCCACCGGGTTGCCTACCCTCGCTTCCACAGGCGCTTCCGTCCCGCCGAGCGTGACGGTGACGTTTTCAGTTAGTGGTGGCCGACACAGCAGACTCCTTCCGAGAGTCGTTTTCGTCGCTCCGTCTGCCTCGCACTCACCGGGCGTCCTGTGTACGTGTGAGGGAGACAGAGCGACGTAAACGACTCCCGGAATCAATCTGCACACAGGCCCCCTCTTCGCTCTTCCGGCTGTCGCCTCCTCAGCGGCCCGCAGTGCTTTCTTCTCTCTCTCTCTCTCTCTCTCTCTCTCTCTCTCTCTCTCTCTCTCTCTCTCTCTCTCTCCCTCTCTCTCTCTCTCTCTCTCTCTCTCTCTCGCACTGAATGAGCTTCCCGGGCGTGTGGGAGAGAGACAGAGCGACGAGGCGCGCGGCGCGGCGGAGTGAGTCCGGGGAGTGAGCGGGTCCGGGCCAGCGACCCGGTCGCCTTGACTGGGGGCCTCCGGGGGCCTTGGCCAACCTTGGCCCTGACTTCCACCAGGGCAATGGAACGGCCGGGCGTGGCGGGGCGTGGCGGGGCAGGGTGGGGTGGGGCGCGGCGAGGAGTGGGGCCGCTGCGGTCGCCCACCAGCTGACAGCGCGAGCGTGCCGTGTCAGTGAATCTGGTGCATCGCGATGCCGCCGTCCAGATTACGTCGCGTCCGGGATGAATACCGCCGACGAAAAGAAGGCGATTGATTTTTTTGTTCACGAATTCTTTGCTTTACTTTCTTATAAATCCCTGGCGGCTGTATTTGTTAATCCCATTTTTTTCTGCTTTCAGGACGATACCTTGCTGCATGCGGTGCCCACTGGACCCTCATCTGGAGGACCAATTCCAGGTAAATTTGTTATCCTTTTATAAAAATTAGTTCGTTCAAACTTTTCAGAACGATTGGAATTCCTGCTAGGTACAGATCCATAGTACACAAAAACAACAAGACGCATGTCAAGTTCAAGATGATTACTGTTATAGACTATCCCTTTGACAGTATAATAAATAAATAAATTTGTCCAATATCGGCGTTCCCACAGCAGTAGGTTGTATTTATTGCTTTGGCACGTGGAGTCCTTAACGGCGCTTGAGGGCACTGCGGGCTGGTGCCGAACGCGGCGACGTCGCTCTGTCTCTCTCGCACTCATGGGGCGTCCCGTGAAGGTGCGAGAGAAACGGAAAGCGGCGCTCGGAGGCAGCCTGCTGACGCCGCGAATAAGTAAGCAGCTCGATGAAGGATCGGCGCCCATACTGCACCTGGGGTGCGTGCCGCCTCGCGCCAGCCAGCAGACTCAGAGTCGTTTTCGTCGCTCTGTCTCTCTCGCACCTTTACGGGACGCCCCATGTGTGCGAGAGAGACAGAGCGACGAAAGCGACTCTCGGAATCAGACAGCAGCCCGGCGCGGCCCAGCGCCTGCGCAGGCACTGCCAATCGGACAGATCATCGCCTCTCTATCGGAACCAGCGGGAACCAGTCAGGGCGATCGCATCGAAATTTTTCGTCCTTGCTTCGGCCGCTGGGCTGCCAGTAAGACTATGTGCTGGAGAGACTTTTACAGTGACCGCTTGAACGACGCCGGAGAGACTGTAGGAGACTCGTTGAGTCTTTCTGAATCATGCACTCTTAAAACCTTACGAAGTATTTTGAGCATACATATAACAAACTAAAATACTTTGTTATACGAAGAAATAGTTCGTAAATTACGAAGTATTTTCTTTGTAGGCTTACGTATGCTCAAAATACTTTGTTATACAAACTACTTTTCTTTGTAAAGCCCAAAACAGTTTGTAAGGTTTTCTCAGTGTGCTTGAGTGACTTTGAGTCCCTCTCGGCCTTATTGGAGAGACTTTGAGCCCCTCTACACAATATTCTGGAAAGACTTTGAGCCACTCTAGACCATGCTTGAGTGACTTTGAGCCCCTCCACACAATTTTGGAGAGACTTTGAGCCCCTCAGACCTTGCTGACTTTGAGTCACTCTGGACCATGCTGGTGAAACTTACACTCTCTTTAGACGACACTGGAGATACTTTAACTCCTCTGTGGACGACTCTGTAGTTACTTCACATATCCCTGGATGACTCTGAATACTTGGCGACTCCCTGAACAATACAGGAGGGATTTTGAGTTCCTCTAGACCATGCTGGAGGAGCCTCAAATGTTTCATACTGCAGAGACTTTCTGTCTCACCATTCGGCGCTGGGGAGACTTCACGTCGGACGACACTGCACCGTCTCCACGTCCCTTGTGCCGCCGACGCCGCGAAGGCGCGCTGGATTTATCTGTGTTTACGTAAACAGCGTTATGGGTCAGTAGTCCATCATCGCGGCCGTAAAAGAGAGGCGAAGGCAAGGCTAGCGCCTCGGCTAGCCCCTCGCCTCGCCGTTCGCGCGCCGCGCTTTGCGTTCGAAAAGCGCAGCGCGGTGATTTGCGCCGAGGAAAAGTGATACCGCGCGCGCCAGCCCTGCCGGCCCTCTGTGCGCGACTCTGTACAGTCTCGCGAAACGCAAATCCCGATAAAAACGTCAACGCGGCAACGCGGTGGTGCGGCGGCGTCAAGTTGCAGGCGGCGCACAGTGGGCCAGAAGACCGGTGTCGGCGGCCAAAACTCTAGACGCGTTTTGAGCTCTAGAGTCGCTAAACAGGACTCGAACGTAACGTGTGACCCCACCAATGGATTCCTCGGTCAGAGAGCAATCCATTGGTGGGGTCAACCGTTCGGTTCGAGGCCCATTTAGCGACTTTGGAGCTCAAAACGCGTCGTGACTTTTGACCGCCTCCGCCGGTCTTCTGGCCCACTGTGCGGCGGTGGCGGGCCGGGCCGGGCAGCTTTCAGGAACGGAATTATTATTCGGCTGATTGACAGAAGGCGGTGCAGTCAGTCGATATCGCCGGCCGGAAGGAGACTGACTGAGCGCCGGCACGCGCGGCCGTCCTCGCCCGGGGCGGTGCACCGCGGTGGCAGCGGGGCTCCGAACGGCGCTCTGTCTCGCTCGCACTCAAGGCTCGTCCCATTGGGGTGCGAGAGAGACAGACCGACAATGTCCGGACTCGCGCTGCAGAGCCACGCCCCCGTTTGTGATGGGCGTTTCGTAGGGCTGGCCCATGCAGTGCACCGAGTGCACCGTACCATTGGACCGTTAAAAATGATTGAACAAAAATGGCTATCATGGGATCACATGGCTCAGCATGGGCAGGCTGTTTGTCAATGGGACCAAAGTCACTTCTGATGGGACAATGTCCCTTAAGGACTGACAGACAATGTGTCCAAAAAATACTTCTTTCTTGTCCCTGAATAGTGGCACTTCGAGCTACTCGGAGAACGCGCTTTCCAGGATGTTCCAATTTGTTTAAAAAAAAAACGTAATCGTTTTTCTTTTTATGTTGACGTAATTTAAAAAAAAAAAAAATTTTGCACGGCTGCCTATTGTAAGTGAGGCTATGGCTGTGTGTGCCACGCGGCTTGTCGAACGTTGCGATCCACCAGACTGATTCCGAGAGTCGTTTTCGCCGCTCTGTCTCTCTCGCAGCTACACGGGACTCCTCATGGAGTGCGAGAGAGACAGAGTGACGAAAACGACTCTCGGCATCAGTCTGCAGTCGGACAAGCGAGCAAGGCGAAACCGAGCAAAGCACGCCTCGGGGGAGGGCGCACTGCTCGTTGTGGGGAAACAGGCGGGCCGGGCAGGCCAGGCAGCCAGGCAGGCCTTTGCAACCGGAAAAAGGTCTCCCCCGGCCACCGCCGCCGGACAGGCCACTGCCTACTGGTGCGGCGGCGGTACCGGCCAATAATGCTGACCCATATCTCGCATTATCCGCACGGCAGCGCACATTCGGCCCCGCCACTGCTAAGAGTCGTTGTTTACCCGCGCTTTTTGCGGCGGGACTGTTTCCCTTGGCCTTGACAGCAGCGGCACCACACACACACACACACGCACACACTCACACGCGCACACACAGGCCTACACATACGCCATACGTGCACTTACTCTCACGCACACACATACACATACGCACACAACGCACAGAGCACACACACACTCGCCTACGAATACAGACACTTACAGACACACACATACCCATACGCACACAACACACACACACACACACACACATACACACACACACACACACACGTACCCATACGCACAGTGTCCTGGTTGGTCGCCGCTCTCCGATTTATGGTGCGATTGAAGAGCGTTCAGATTAATAACGCGTGTGCCACTAAGTGATTTACAAAGCGACATTGCGGCGTGGCTTCGCTGGCTCCGCGGGCAGTGTGCCGTGGGAGGGAGAAAGAAGAAAAAAGATCGCCGGTTTTACGACGTTTTACGACGCGCCACTGCAAAATGCGGCTCTCGGCATTCTCCGGCGTGCTGTGCGCTTTCCGATTTGACGTTCAGTCGGCGGGGAGCTTTCAACGACACTGTTCGCCTTCCTGGAACCTTGAACTGGAGCCTCTTAGCCTCGAGTCCAGGAGGCGCCTTCACTGGTGATGCATTTGAATAGGCGATGTCAGACCCTTGCTGGAGCCTTTTTGCACTCTTGCTGGAGCCTTGCTGAACCTTGCTGATGCCTTTCTGGAGCCTGGAGCTTATTGCTGGAATCTCTTGCTGTCCAAAATTTGGTCCAATTCACCGTTTTTTGTTCTACGAAGCGTTTGTAATGTCCCGAAGAAGCTTACGACTGGAATGGAACACACTTTCCCAACGATTCTGCTGTTCTGAATTGTTTTTAACAGTGACGATCGAGGTTTGATATGACACTTTCATGACTTGCAAATGATGACAACTTCACTGAAACTTCATCAAACCTTATACGCGCACAATGTCGAATCAATTGCTTCGATGCGAGATTAGCGTCGAAATTGTCAGCAAGTGGTGATAACTAAAAAAAATATTTCACAGTGCAGTGCTGGCGCCTGTGGGACTTGACGTCGTGTCGGACGTGTCCTGCCATCGGGGGCGCGCAGTTTAGGGCCGTGGGGTCCGCGCGACATTCACGCGGAGACATCGCGGACGACGCGGCGGACGACGGGACACGCACCGAGCGCCGTTTTAACGCCGCGCGGGTTCGAGACCCGCCGACGCGCGCGTTTCACCCTTTTAAAGGTTCCGCCTCATCAGAGTGTGTGTGTGTGTGTGTGTGTGTGTGTGTGTGTGTGTGTAGGTGTGTGTAGGTGTGTGTAGGTGTGTGTGTGTGTGTGTGAAAGAGAGAGAAAGAGAGAAGTAAAGCCGCTCTACTTGAAGTTGAACTTAAAAAAGCTAGTTTAAAAACTCTGACTTGAACTCTGGAACTCTGGCGCAACTCCGACACAAACCCTGCAAGCTCTGACAGAAATTCTAAAACTATGACCCTTTACCCGTAGCATTCGGAGTTGATTTGCCGTAGTGACAAAATATTTTGCTTTTTTTAGCAGCAGCATTGATATAGTCGTTGCTCCATTTTAAAACTCCTCCTCCCGGACTCGGGGGGAAAACACACCGAGACCGCAGCAGCAGTGCTCGGGTGCTGGAATTAGCGCGGTGCGAGTCTGAGCCATCTTTACTGCACTGGTGTAAATCAACTCAGAAATTTTCTGATACTTTTGCATATCAGAACATTTCTCATGTCTGAGTTCTGATGTTTTTTCGGACACCTATTTCTGATGTTTGTGTGTCTGATGCCTCAATTTTCTGATGACTTTAGTTCTGATAACATCGGCTGGACTCATAAAGAAATATATCAGAACAATCATTTTCTTCTGTAAACATATATTTTGATCTACATGAGACTCGGAAACGGGGAAAACGTCTTCGGGGGGTCGAAATCGAGCCCGATCCAAATCTGCAGTCCAAATTGATCTAG